CACTGGCACAGGTTGCCCAGAGAGGTGGTGGATGCCCCATCCCTGGAATCATTCAAGGTCAGGTTGGAGGGGGCTCTGAGCAACCTGATGTAGTTGAAGATGTTCCTGCTCATTGCAGGGGGATTAGACTAGATGACCTTTAAAGGTCCCTTCCAACCCAAACTATTCCATGATTCTATGAGTTAGTTTTATCTCAACAGTGCTTAAAGCATTCACTACTATTTCAGATTCTTTACCCTAATTTCATGGGAATCGTCACTGTTCCCTTTAAGAACAGTGCCATAAACTATTCTTCCTTGCAGTTAGTTTTCTCAGTAGGACTTGAACTGATTAGGCAGAGAAAACAGTCAACCAGTGTATATACAGAATTGCTGCCCAGCAAAGTTAACCCCTTTTCCAACTTGTACATAAGAGCCACGTAATGTATCTCAGAATACAAGCCAGAAATGTCCCAGTCACCTAAGCACTGCCCAGATGAGCTTGTAAGAGCTTTACATTAAAATTACCTAGGTAGCTGGAAGCAGTAATTTGCAATGCCCACCGTAGCACTCAAGTTTCATTGAGCTACACCTCTGTCCCAAACAAGTGCTATGATCACTGAATCGTCACAGAGACTGGCACAGGACATCACCTCTACATTTTGTGAGTCCTCAATCCCACAGGGATATGTTGGACTTGCTGAGAACGCTACTTGTTTGGGCTGCTCAGGAATTTAAGCAAAAGCTTCTGCATCACAGTTGGGCTTGGAAGCTAGCCCCAGCCCCCTGCCCCCATGGGCTAATTCAGCAAATACACAGAAGGCTCAACTCTGGACGTGCTCAAAAACACAAAAGCTAACTGCATTTAGGCTCTGGGCTAGCAGCAACTGCAGGACGGCTTCTGCATTTCAGCACAAGGTTGCCTAAACTTTTCATCGGAGCTTAATCTAAGACAGGATTCACCTCGTCTACAGTACAAATATCCAAATCGGCATTGGCCACCCAAGCCTATTGTGGTACATGGCAGTTCAATTCCTCTAACCTGTCTTGAAGTTCTACTTCAGGATAAAATGAACCACATCTTATGAGTCCAGCTGTCATTTTAGGTACCAAGATCCCAATCTGAAATCCTAACATATCAGCTCAATCACCTGTAAGCCTGATGACACCTGGAAATGACTGATACCAACGTTTGCTAGCAAAAGATTCCAGAGCTAGGGGCTGTGGTTTGGGGGAATTGCCTTTTTTTTTTCTTGTCAGTTGTGCTTTAGACATCTGAGTTGCTCACACCACCTTGTCACCACCTAAGCCCCTGCCAAGAATACCAAGCATGGTATTCTGCTGATGGATTTGCGGAGCAAATCGCCTTTATAAGCAAGCTCTGTATGAAAAAAATGAGAAGAAGCAAAAGTTCTCATTGTCTTCAATAGTGCACTTGCCCATATTCAGTTTCCTAATGATTTGGCTGCGCATTCCTGCACACCAGAAGATAGTCTTGGCCAACCTTTCAGACCCAGGGAATATGTAATTATTTTCTATGCAAACCAAAGCAACTTCAATCCCTGAATAGTTTATGTCTGAATAGTCTCCTTTGCTTATGGGGAAGGACTTCAGCAAGATAATCTGTGTAAGACCAGAATGACAAACCTGTTAAAGAGTATTGAGACTGAGAGTTTAGAACCTATTTGTGCAAGATGGTGAACCTTCCTCAGCTGTGGTTCATGTCAGTGGGAATTTACAGCATGGTACATGTTTTAAACCGGTACCGAGTACAAAGCAGATCACCAGACTCTTCCGTTGACAAAATGGCTCACTAGTCTGCATGAAAAACGGAGAAGCTTCGAACACTTTACATTTTATTTGAACACTGATAATAGTTTTTACATTTAGAACCAGTGGAACAAGAACATGTGTTTGAAAGGAAGGTGGGTTTTCTAGTGCATCACATACAGGCCCCAGCCTTTATTGATTAGTAATTGACAATACGATTAGAATTGATTACTTGATCTCAGAAGCTACAAAATTATGGTTCAATACAATATACCTTTTTAGCATAAACAGGTATTTATATATATTCTTCTCTCAGAGATATAGTGCAAGACTAACTCGATTGCTTGGGGCGCTCAGCACCCCTGAAAGAGATCAAACTTAGAGAGAAAGATCCCTTAACAGACTGCTTAAATGGAAGTAGACCAAAATATATCATCAACAAAACATGTTTTAATTTAAAAAAAAAAAAGCTTGCAAAATATCAGCAAATGTCAATAATCAAATAACAGGTACAGATCTTTTACAGAAAAGATAAATGCAATGTAAGACTTGTGTTCAAACTTGTCTTTCAAGTACGGAGAGCTTGCCTGTTTGTTCGGTGGGCGTGGCACTCATACTTCGGTTCTTAAGTTGCTAAATTCTCCTACAGCAGCATAAAAACAAGCCTCAAAATCATCAAAAGGCTGCAAAAAAACCCCAGAACAAAAAACATAAATATGGTTGTGCATGAACAAAAACAGTGAAAGTCATCATTAGATAACAGTGCATTCATAAATACCTGACACAGGAGCCTCCAGTAAGCAATCTTTTAAAATGTCTAAATCTACAGCCTCAGTGTCTGTTGAAACACACAGTCCACCTAGGCTTGAAAAGCGATCCACAATGGAAAATCATATTTTCCAGTTTAAGTCCTGATTCTTAAATTTTGCATCTTGACAATTTGCATCTGATTTTTTCCTCCCTGTATGTAACTGGAGTAAACCAGTTAATGGTGTCATATTAAATCTGGTAGCAACAAAGCAACAGAAGATGGAGATTCTGACTTACAGTTGAAAAATGTTTTGAGTTACAGACTCACTGGGAAAAAAAAGTTTCGACTTGCTCTATAATTTAGTTCTGAAATAACAGGTACAGAAAATTATGTTTTCCAGAAGGCCAAAATAAACAGCCGCAATAAAGCAGTCAGAATGGTTAGAAACATCATAATTTGCAGTAATACTGACCAAAGTTCTAAGGTCAAAAATGTCCTAGTTTTCAAAGGTGCTGCGCCTCCAGTAGTTTTGAATGCAGCACTTCTAAACCGAAGTGTTGGTCCTTTTTAAGATGACCCTGTTGTATGAAATTAGATGACTAATTTTATGCATATGTGTTTGAAAACACTGAGGCTTACCTCAGGTTCTTCCAAGAGCCTTATCAATATGCATTAATATTTAATTGCAGATCTCTCCTTTCTGTGCTGAGAAAGTCAGTCCATATCAGATGTATCCGCCTAGTGAGATGAAAAAGCTGTTCACTGGAAACAGGACTGTGACCTCCAAACTAATTTCACTTAAACCATACAGTTGCTGGATGATAGTACCTTCCACTGATACTGGCTTGAATCAGATGTCAAATGGCAACTATTTGAAAATCAGCAAAATCTTTAAGATCCTCAATATGTTTACCTCAGGCACGCTACTAGTCCGGCTGGCATTAATTTCTTGGACCTCTTGAACCTCATTCCCATTATAATGGTCAAAAGAAAAGCTGAAACTGTAAGAGACAATTCAATATATTTATGTTCTCACTTCTCCCAGTGGACCATTCAGGAACATAGAGAGTTATCAAAGGTCATTGCTATGTTTTGCTATGAACTGTAATTTAATAAAACATTAGATCAGAGATAGGGTCTATAAAAACATTCTTGCTTTTCCAAAATACACTGCTATGATTTCTTTCAGCTACAAATAAGGTTTCCATGTGCAGCAGAATGCTAAATCCGATTCCACAGATACTAAGTAAGTTTGTCAGACAGTGAATTCTACTCCCTCTTATCTACCTTCACGGGGATACAAATAAAGTAGGAAGACTCTTCATCGTAACAGTAACGTGTATGCTGAATTACAGGAATAGTGTCTCATAAATCCCACCACCCTAGACCAGTGCAGCTGTTGTCTGACTATTCAAGGAGCTAGAGCATCCAGCTTTATCTGTTTTCTTTTTAGAATGCTAGCTCTTTATTTGCTGAGCCTTAAAAACTAGATTTTCGCTACAGAATATGGCTATCAACATCTCCTTCATCATGACCACAAGTTCCCTTGTTTCCTTTTGCTACGAGGGAACCACCCTTGTCTGTGACGAGAGTGGGCAGCCCAAGACGGCAACAAATGCAGCACAAACAGCAGAGAATAAACATCATGAAAGGAATTGCATCTTCTTCCTGGAGTAGTCTTACCTAAAAATGGAGGTAGCAATGAACTGATCAGGCATGTGGATTTCATATCGAACTATGGCTGCAGAGCACTACATAAATGAGAAGGTTGATAAGAACACGTAAAACTCTGCAAAGATAGCTAGCTTCGTTAAAGAACTGTCACCTGAAATACTTCCTAGAAGTGGGCAGAGAGGCAGGACTTCTCATGGGCAGCTGGGCTTTTATCATTCTTGCAGCTGAAGTAATGGCAGTTACACAAATCTCTTCCCTTTTTTTATGGAGCAGTTAAACCATCTGGCTAATTTCTTCAAACTCCACTGCCTATTCCTGTGGACAGTCCTGTGCTCACAGGTGTCAAGAATTTTAAACTCACTCCAGGATTATAAAACAAGCTCTGACACTTACAAGCATCTTACAAAACTCCACCAGCTATACATGTGCACTCATTAAAGATACCCTGCAAAAAAACTATTATGCTCCATTATCCATTGCTCTTATTTTCTGGTCCCATAGCCTTGATCCTCTCAGGAATGTCTGAAGAGTGGACTATTCCACAGTATGCGTCTTGCCAGAGCCCTGAATATATTTACAATTAATTACAAGCTACAAAGCATGTTCACTCTGTAATGTTCTTTTTTCCAGTTACTAGTATCTGGCTTTTCACATGTGCCAGTGAATTTTTAAGACGTTCAACTTTTAGACCTGATTTTCAAAAGTGCTAGATATTCACTGTTTCACCTTAAATCAAAGAAATTCAATAAATCAAGCCAAATTCAATTCAGTAAATCAGATTCAGATCAGAAATTCAATAAATCAGGTGCACCAGCTTGCACTTTGAATAGCAGTAACTGTTGCATACTGAAGTCTGAATTTCTACACCTATTCCAAACACATAAAATTGCATTAAAGTATTCAAGAAAGCACAGAGTTAATTTCAGGGGGAGTAGGAAAATGCCTGAAAGAATAATTTATAAAACAACTAAGAAAATTTGCCTGGGGTATCTGTATGCTACATACTCTTTGTACGTAGGACAAGTTACAAGAACCCTACTATCAAGGTCTTGTACTAAAACATTACCTACATTATTGTAGGAGACTCTTGCGTAGGTGATAAATACTATAGATAATTATGGGTTTGGAGGGGGATTTTTTTTTTTTTTTTAATTTCCTAACCTTTTAAAGGTTTGGGTACTTGCTTCATTTTACATTGCAATTTACTCCACTGGTTTCTAAGTTCAGAGTGGTCACTTTCTTCCATACACTTAATTTCCTTCTTTCATTTGTTCTCTAGTTGCTTTTGGCACTTTGGGAGGTTAGGCACAAGTGAAAACATTCTGATTTTATACAAAAGCAATACACACGTATTACAGAAAACCCTTATTATTCTGAAAGTAGCAAATACAGCAGCCACCAAAGTTTTTTAAGGTGTGGACCTGTAGATGTTTCCAAGTGTGTCTAATTCTCCCTTCTCTGAAGTCTTCCTACTGAGTTCTTTATTCATTTGAGGTATCTAGGTCTATAGAAGCCAGAAAACACCCTCTTCCAGACTGACATACATGAGCCTGAAAGAGATTAAAACCAGCCTGAATGGTTGGCCCTGGCAGAGTACTTTGTATGAATACGTCCTAACTCAGTTCAGGCAAAAATCACCACAGTTAGTTCAGACCACCTTCTTTGTTTCATTCAGCATAGGCGGATCTTGAAGAGGCCACCCATTCATAGCCGAGGTTAAAGATATATTTAGGTTTTAAGCAATTAGAACATTACTTTGTAAACATTCTAAACTAGGACTGCTTTAAAAAGTGTTTGTTCCTTTTACTCTACATAATAAGAACTTTCTAAGGCAGGTGTAGTAAATGCTATGTCATCTGTATTGCTGTAATTTCCATTAAACTAGTAATATGTATTTATCCAGCTGAGAGAAAGTCCTCGTATACCTACAGCTACATGAAATGCACAACACTGACAGTATTTTAGTATATCTGACGTTCACAAGCAGATTAGTGGAAGTTTTGTATTAGTCCTTTCAAAACCAAGGAATTGGGAAGCAGGGAACATTTACTAAGTTTGAATTGGTCTTCCACAAATTCTGTATCCAAATTAGTGATTTAATTGACCCATAAAAGTACAATACTGTATGCTGCTTAAAAGCATCTCACACTGAATGATTACAAATTTACATATACTTAAGGCTGTATCTTCATTCCAAAAAAGTTGTGATATTTTTTTTTTTTTTTTTTAACAGTGGGATAACTTAATCTGAGCAAGGTCACGGTGGCAAAACTGGAATACCCAATTTAGGCCATCTAGGAGCAGATCAGGTATGCCATTACCACCTTTACTAAAGAACTCAGTTGGTGGGAACATACTTTGCTGACAATGCTATTCAACATTTTTTTGAAATGAAAATTTTTACAACTGGTGTAAAGCACAAAGCCAGCATGAACAGTATACCATAAATTCTAACTAAGTTCAGAAAAAGCGATTGTGTACTCACACAATTTGGATTAAATGTATTTTAAATGCATTTCTGCATGTGAAACCACAGCCTAAGCCACCTTTGCTAAAACCATGAGTGAGACAAGCTCCCAATAGCTCTTACTGCAAATCAGTTGTGTGAGGTTAACATCCCCCTTAGAGACTGTAGTTCCTTGCCTCCATGAGGGTTTCATGGCAAACTAGCTAACGTGACAATTATTGCATAGTTTGTATCCCGTCTTTCTTAGCAGCAAAGTCTGCTCAGCAGGCACCGAGTCAAACTATTTGTTTCATTGGGAGCTGAGGATATGTTATGTTATGCAAGACTGGATCCCACACCTACTTTACTTCTCAAATTACATTCTAATCTGTAGCGCTAATCATTTTATTCCAGTACTCTCCCACATTTCTCAGCTGGATTTCACAATATTTGCAATGTTAGGTAACCATCTAATAAAAGGAGGCGCTGCCAGGTGGTAACACACACCTGCTGACTTTGTGTGAATGATCTGCCTTACCTTGCAAATGGTGCCACAGTTAAGCTCTTGACTTTTGCAAGCTAAGTTAAAGTGTCGAACTCTATTTAAAAACTAACATTTAAACCAAAGCAATACTCAAAATTTAATAAAAGAGAGAATTTTACATGCAGTTCAGGAAACTGCTTTTTTGGGGGTTTTTTGTTTGTTTGTTTACTGTAGTAAAACACTCACACAATGATATCTTCACATTTCTTGGATCACGTGTTACGCAGTAAGCTCCATAACCAGCCACAGAACCAAGGGCGAGACCAGCAGCTAAAGAGATTTTACTACCTGCAAGAAACCATTCAAGTGTTATTTCTCAATACAATGTCTTTAAGCTCAATTTTTACACAGTAGTTGTCTCCCTACACAGTATTATCCTTATATTTTAAAAATAGAACCAATTTTGCCACAGTGCAGCTAGCTCACCTAGTGTGAATAGAGAGGTAATATTTCTGTAACTGGGTCATTCTCTTGCATGGCATTAGGGGCAAAGTTGACTAAATTAGAGGGAGATGATCAAGGTCTAGTAATACTTGCAATTTGGGAAAAATAATCTTTGAAGAATTTGGCTATTTTCTCTACCATAAATACCTTTAGAAACATTTTTGTAATTTCTCTGGACTGTCTGTTGATTTTAACTATAACTTACAGCACTTGGAAGTCTCCAAAAATGGTAGAAATGTGTCAAGATATATAAAGGATAAATTGGACAACACATGTAGTCATAAGCCTTTCAGTCTGACATCAGTCCTGGACAAAGAAATGGTATCACCAACATCACATTTAATTAATAAAGAATTAAAAAACAATTAGATGGCAATGAGGATGAAAACATGGCTTTTAAAAGTAACTCGACATCTTCTTTCAGTGCTATTACAAAACTGGTTCATAAAGCCCAGAGTTTCAGTAATATACTTAGCTTTCTGAATAGGCATTTGACTCGGTACCATAGGATAAAAGCGTAGAAACAGCACAGCAGGTATTATCTGGATTAAGCTGATCCCAAAACATTTATAAATAAAGAATCCAGACCCCCAGATGCCATTTAGCTCCCAGTCCTGTTATACCGAATATTTTTAATCAAGAATTTGCAAGAAAACAGAAATCATTACCAATTAAAAAAATAATCTAGATTTGCCACAAGGACCGACCAACTATTAAAGAGTGAGGAGAACAAGCGAATGGGAAGTCAGTGAGTGCAGCTGGGTGCAAACAAAAAATACACCAGGTGTTTTCAGAAAGTCAGATATAAAGCCATGTCTCTAAGAGCAAAGCACGTGCACGCTACGCAGGGAAACAGTGACCCTAAATCACAAGAATCGGGATGGATAATGGCCACGGCGAAGAAGACTGATGCGCTGCTGGGACGTGCACTTTTGTGGGAGAGCTAACCGGGACCAGCCTGGAGATCCTGCCTGCCGGTCCCTGGTACCACTGCGACCTCTGCTGGGATGCTGTGCTCGGCTCAGGCAGGGCGCTGCTAGCTGGAAAGGACTGCAAAAATGACTGAAATATGGAAAAATGCGCTTTGTAGTACAGGATAACCTAAAACCTGATTATCTTAAGAGTTAATACCTAAGAGAGAATTAACCACCAGATCGGAATATGCAAGTAAAGGGTTTTCTTTCCAGTGTGCATCTGGAAATCTATGCATCCGCAGAAAATAAACTTTAATCAAAGATCATCTACTGCGCTCAACGCAGGAATGATTAAAGGAAATGAGAAGGCCCAAAATACACTGAAGGTCAAAAATAACACGACAGCCCCTTTTTACCCTGAAAACAAACTCATCAGTTAGATTAACAGAAAAAAGTGACCACTTAAATGCTTAAGTTGACCCAAGTAAATCTCATGAGACTCAGCTCATTTATAGCAGCGCAGGATGGATTTAAGATGCAGTTGTGTTCATTATAGCAAAGTTTTCATGTCTCGCATCAAATTTTTTTTTTTTTTTTTTTTAAATGCGTAGCAGAGAGGAACACTTTTCATCCAGCCACCCGCATTTTCATATGTCTCGCAATTTTTTTTTTTTTTTTTTTTTTTTTTTACAATGCGTAGCAGAGAGGAAACTCAACTGCTTCATTTCCAAATCCTGCTGTCCCGGTATTTACCTTTACGAGTGTATCCTACAACACCTCCAACAGCCAACAATGCAGCATATGCAAAACCAATCCAGTCAATAGCCATGGTCCCAACTCTGGAGAAGAAAACACATTGCAACTGAAGACAAACAAGTTCCTTCCTCCTGGTTTGCGTAGCAGAGAGGAAACTCAACTGCTTCATTTCCAAATCCTGCTGTCCCGGTATTTACCTTTACGAGTGTATCCTACAACACCTCCAACAGCCAACAATGCAGCATATGCAAAACCAATCCAGTCAATAGCCATGGTCCCAACTCTGGAGAAGAAAACACATTGCAACTGAAGACAAACAAGTTCCTTCCTCCTGGTTAAAAAAAAAAGTCATTACTTAAAGTGTTCTAAATAACACTACGCTCTCCTAAGCCATGTTTGACTACTGTGTCAAAACATTCAAAAGGTGAAGGTGCGTCTATTGGCTATTGTATCATCCTTTCACTAACTGCTGCCCTTCCTTACACCTCAGTATCTTGGTATACTGTATTTCCATTAGGGGAAACTGGTATTTTTGGGATGCGTGTGGCATGCATGTTTCCCAGTCAAAAATACACATATGCAAGGAAAAAGCTTGACACCACCCAAAGCATCAGTTTTATTGCACTTGTGCCATATGGCTGATCTGGGCATATGCTATAGATACATACGTGTCTTCTGATCGCACAGCTAAGTGCCCTTTCAACCAGGCTGTACTTGGTGTACTTCAGGCAGAATGTCACAGGCCCTGCAACACCAGGCAAAAATAGGAGTTTTCAGAGTCTACCCAAACTTTCCAGACAGAAACCTAGGCTGTCTTCAGGAAGCTATATATACAGAATCTTTATCCTATCTGTCTATGACCCTTTTATTTCACCTTTAGATTTTGATGCATTGCCCGAAGTTAGGCTTCTGTCCTCCAAAAAGCATTTAAGTTACTGTTATAATACTGATCCCCACTTCCCCAGCTGTGCTCTGTAAAGGCAGGAGTGGCTGTGGTTTGCAGCCCGACAGCCCCAGCAGCACTACAGCCTCTCTCCCACCAGCCGGTGAGATACACCTTTCCTTTGCTTCTCCCAAATTAAGTGTATGCTTAATTAAGTGTATCCTTTTTTTACCTGAGCAGGTGTGTCCTTGATCACAACGTTAAAGGGGTGGCAGGAAAGAGTACAGACTCACCATTTCATGTCAAGCCTTTAATATTAAAGTGAGCAACTTACAGCGAGGGCCCCCCCCCCAAGCTCTAACCCCCCTCAAGAAGACAGGTGGTTTTAGGGGGCCATGGCACCCCCGAAAACGAGGTCGGCAGAGGTAGGGGCCAGGCTCAAAGCCCAACCTTTGACCCACCCGGCCTTCACGGCCTAGGCAGGCGGGCCGAGGCCGAGCGCGGCCGGCCGGCTCTCCCTTGGGTGGGGACTTCCACCT